AATCGGCAAAAGCCAACGCCAGGATAATGACACCTACTGTCCGTTTGAATAAGTCCTTTACAGCACTATCTGCGGCCTCTGCACGTCACGACATAGTCAGTATCGTAAGGAATTCGATTACTATTGATGCTGAGATCTCTAGAAGCAACAACACGTCTGGTATACAACGCCCCTAACGACTCCCACAGCAACCCCTAGTAAGCTTAAGCATGTGCGTAGTCAAATGCAAATCCAATTGCTATCTCAGCCACCCGGACACCCGATAAATCCAGCACCATTATAAAATCTTTTCCTCCACAATCGGCTAACAGTGTCTCAATTACCTCGACTCAAAACGTAGCGTGTTCCCAACTGCCCCTAGCCCTCATATCGAGGCAGTTAAACCGAATATGCCGATTTTCCCGCCTTTTAATAGAACTCTTGTTCCAATGGAAGCAATGAGTCCCCCACCCCCTAATTTGTTTCCACCACGACCGTTTTTACCAATGTATTCCTCATGCTGGTGTCCATACTGGATCAATTAACTCATCCGATCCTCAGTTTCGTTCCGGTGGGAATGTGTTGCAGTATCTGGCTCGCGGATTTCCAGCCGAAAATGAGTTAGTTATCAATGGTTACCAGTTTACCTGCCCGTCATTCCCTCCCCCAAGTCCTACCCCATTTTTTATGTCACAAATATTTTGCAGAACCGGATGGTTACATCCGGACCGTTTGCTCCGTGGGCAGACCAGCACTGGACGATGTAGCCCACCTCCCTCAGAAACATACAGCCTTTCCCTTCAAACTTTTTGTTTTAAATGCCAGATCCTTGCTTAATAAGATGCCTTCGCTTCAGACTCTGGTGTTCGTCCATTGTCCGGATATTGTTTTAGTAACTGAGACATGGGCATCAGCCTCCATAGCTGATTCTGAACTCTCGTTTCTAGGCTATAATTGCATTCGACATGATCGCCAAGATAGCCGTGAGGGGGACAGTTGCGTATACGTCAAGCAAACACTTACATTTTTGCCGCTCGACCTCCCGCATTTTTCCGCAGTAGAATGCAGCTGCTGGCTCCAGGTTGCTCTAAAAAATAAGTTCTCCTTACGCTTTGGCTGCGTTTATCGCCCTCCCAACGCCAGCGAAAATTTTGATCGTTTACTGTCACAGGCATTTCATGCTGCGACCGACTTAAGCTTTAAGTATCAATTGGTTGCGGGCGACTTTAATCTCCCTGAAGTCCGCTGGTCTTCCCCTTCAGGTTACAGAAGGTTCAAAGACTTTCTTGAGGCTGTGGATGTTGGAATGTGGATTCAGGTTGTAGATTTTCCCAACTGAGGATCAAGCATACTTGATCTAATTTTCTGTAGAGGCTGCATGCCATCGTCAGTGTTATCCCTAGGCCCACTCGGGGCTCAGACCATGACATAGTTGTTTCAACGTTGGAATTCGAAGTTGACAAAACGTCTTCCCCAAAGTATAACTTTTTCCGCGATTTCCGATCAACTCGCTCTACCGAATTATTAACACACCTTAATTCCTACGACTGGACTGATTTCTTCCTTAGTTCGGATGTAAATGTTTGCACTGCAAAACTGTACGAAATTTCGGATCCGCTTATTTCTCGTTTTGTCCCCCGTAAGAAAATTATTAATCTTGGGGATGAGGTCTTCCTATCCTTACCCTTTCGTCGCAGATTGCGCAGACTTTATCGTCGATTCCATCTTCAGAACGAAATTTCAGTTCTGCCCTTGATTTGTGATATTTTTGAGCGGGCTAAGAGATTGTCCGAAAAAGAACAGCTAGCCGAGGAGATCCAGTTTACCGAAAACCATTCGTTAAGTGTCTCGAAACTTTTCTCTAGAAAAATACGAACTCGCCGAAAGACGCAGCATCCCATCCTCCGAGACGATCTCGGAAATCCCATAGTTGATGCCCAATTAACCGCTGATAGCTTCAATGATTTCCTGTCCAAAACGTTCATTGAAGACTCGAAAACTCCGCTTCCGACCATCCAGGCACTGACTGGGGCAGTCCTAGAAACTATAACTTTCACTCTGTGGGATGTGACTGTTGCGAATCGGCGTTGATGTCCAGGCTCTGATGGTGTCGCAGTAAGCATTTTAAAAGCCGATGCAAATACGATTTTCCCATCCTTCTCATGCAAGATATTTAATCTTGCTCTTGAAAGTGAAACTTATCCTACCTTGTGAAAGGAATCACACATTTTGCCCATTCCTAAGCACGGCAAATCTTCGTCATTTGATGACTTTCAGCCAATAAACACTCTCCCCGCAGTTTCGAAGATCTTGGAGACATTGATCAAAGATAAGATGATGTGTCACTTAACAGAAAATAACCTACTGAGTGCTGCTCAGCATGGATTCCTCAAAGCTCGATCTTGTGACACCTGTCTTCTCTCTTTCTTTGACTATATTCTCCAATCTAGGGACAATGGTTTTACACTTTACACAAAGGCTTTTGACTATGTTGACCATGCTGTTCTTCTCTTGAAACTGTCCTCTTTCGGAATAAGTGGCAAACTTTTAAATTTTATAACCTCTTACCTGGACACTCGTACATAACGTGTTAAGATTTCCAATACTATCTCTAACCCCACACGGGTGAGTAGTGGAGTCATTCAGGGTAGTGTACTCGGCCCGCTTTTATTTTGTCTTTTCGTTAATGATGTACCCGACTTGTTTCAGAATGGTAAGCCTTTCATGTATGCCGATGATCTTACAGTTGCATATCGATATAAGCAGGCAGATCATGACCTCGTGCTTGAGCTCCTAAAGAGCTATCTACAGGCTTTTGCCCAGTGGTGCCGCACATGGCGCCTTTCTCTTTCCTGGCATAAGTGCTCAGTCATGGTGGTTGGCGACGACCGCCAACCTCAATTAAGTATCGAAGGTCACGCCATAAATGTGCCTGGGGTTATTAAGGATCTTGGTGTATCATACTCCAAGAGTCTCAATCTCTCGGAGCACTGTGCCTCGATAGTCTCCAAAGCACGTAGAACAACCGGGTTTATCCACCGAAACTTTAAAACTAGGGACATTAGAATGCGCCTTTTCAACATGTACGTTAGACCTGGTCTGGAATACTGTTCGTTTTCATTTAGCCTCATGCGTGCTACTGAGCGGAAGAAAATATAATCCGTTCACCACTTTTTTACCAAGAGAATTTTAACTCCGGAACACCGACAGTTGTCTTAACAAGAACGTTGCCGGCTTACGAGCCTTGATCCTTTATGGTTCCGTAGATTACAAAAGGGAATGTTTTTGCTATTTAAACTCTTAAATAATCACACATCTAACCCACTCACCTCTTTAAGTCATCATTTCCACCCACGACGTAACAGTCACCGTAAGGTCTTTTTATTTCTTCCTCTGGCACGTACTGTTAACTATCGTCGGTTCTTTTCTGTAAATGCAATTGCTATTTGGAATAAACTACCCATGAATGTAAAAAACCTGCAAAATTATCTTTTATTTAAAAGAACTATTAGTCGATTTTTGCGTTCAGAAAAGCTCCCACAAATTTTGGGTGCTGAATCCACTGATCGACTGTACCGTAGCGATGGCGTTTGTGGTCTCTGAACACTATGGCCGGTCTCACCATGGACAATTTCTTTGGCCAACAGCGACAGCTGCTCCTCAACGCCTCTACTTTAACTATTCCCAACTTCATGAAAGTAGTTGACGTCCGATAATCTTCGATACCGTGCAACCCCCCCCCCCCCCCCCCCACCCTTCTTGACGGTCGAATGTCTGCCGCCAGCAGTTTTTTCTCCTGAACTCTCCAAACCATGAAAACCACCATCAACTATATTTTTATTCCTTAAACTCAGGAGTTTTTTTCACTGCTGGTCGGATTTGTGTTTAACGCTTCCCTTGACAATGCCTGTAAACTGGCATTAAATAAAAATATCATGTTATCGTCATATCATGACTCCGCGAGGACGGCGGAAGCAAAACATTATTATTGCAGGAGATTTCAGTGCTCAGTGGATTAACGGGAACCCTGTTACATTTAAGGGCCACACACGAAATTTCGACCAAATGCTATTAGCCATGGCACATGATTAATTTCTGTTTTAACATGTACGAACTGTGACCCGGATGCGTGACTGTCGGAGGGCTAGTTTCCTAGACCTATTGTTCACCAAGAACTATGAAATAAATGCAGGCCCGCCGCTAGGTTCTTGCGGTCACATGACATTAATTTGGCAGTCAACACTCGTAACTGTCCCCGAAAGAAGATCAAACTCGTTAAGAAATATTTGGTAGGGTAACTTTGAGGCAATTAAATCGGAAACTGGACACACACTAAGGCCGGAAGCATTGCAATGAGATGTCGAAGAATGCTGAACAACCTTCGACTCAACTATGAGAGACTTGATTGAACGATACTGTCGTCTTAATAAACATCAGGCCGGGAACAAACCGAAATGACTGACAACATCGGTTAAGAATGGAATCCGAAAAAAACGCAAGTGGTGGAAAATCTTCTTACAAACGGGAGCCCAGAAAAACTTCAACAATTTAGACAACAGCGAAACTTATGCAAAATACTCATCCATGAAGTAGGTGCTTCTTATGAAATGAAGTTCCTGGGAGAGGCACAGCAAAAACCTAGACCGTTCTATGCATACATCAGGAGCAGTACAAAAAACCAAGACCATCTCACAACCTTAAAGGACAAAGATAACCAAATTGTGATTGGTGACTTTCAAAAAACCGAGCTTCTTTCAGAGTCTTTCCAAAGTGTCTATACCACTTAACCACCACTCCCCAGTTCTGTTCTCTGTCACAGCTCGCCAACAAACCACTTAAAAACACAGTATTATTTACACCGCAGCTAGTTTTCGCGGAGTTATATAAGCTGGATCCGGCCAAGTCACCTGGACCAGATGAGGTCGCACGTGTACTCCTACGTCAACAAGCTGAAGAATTAGCAGAACTACTCTGTATAATCTTCCAAAAAAATAGATGGAAGCTGGCAAACTTCCCGTCACATGGACACTGACAAACGCCGCATCCATCCACAAGGGCAGATCACGGCTATATCCTACCAACTACCAGCCGGTGAGTTTGACATGCATTTGCTGCAATCTGATGGAAAATTTAGTTGAAAAACCAATCGCATCGCTCGATCCATTCCGCTGTTACATCAGTTCAGTTCAACATGGCTTTTGTGAAAAGAGGTCATGCCACACAAACATGCTTACGTCGCCCGAACATTGGTCAAGGACCATGGACGAAGGACATCCAGTAGATGTCATTTACTATGACCTCAGAAAGGCGTTTGATTTCGTCCCACATATGCGTCTCGTTCAAAATTTGTCAGGAGTAGGCATAAGAGGGGATCTTTTGAACTGGACTCAAGACTTCCTAAACGGTCGTAGACAACAAGTAACTGCCGGTGGCTACTGCTCAGAGTGCGCACCCGTTAAAAGTAGGATCCCACAAAGGTCCGTTCTTGGGCCGTTCCTATTCATTATCTATGTAAATTATCCAGTACGAGAAGTGAAATCGGACATAGCGCTCTTTGCAGACGATCTTAAACTTTGGATAGTGACAAAAGATGAAGATGTCGTCAAGAGACTACAAGCGGACGTAGAGACTATTAACGGATGGAGCGAGAAATGGTACATGAATTTCAACGCCACAAATGTGTAATAATGCACGTAGGTTCAGCAAAACGAAGAACAAAAGCACCTCACGACAGTGTCTTCTGGACAATCAACAACTTTAGACCATAGATATGCGAAAAAATCTCGGCGTATTCATTAAAGACGATCTAAGCGTCACCACGTAGTGCTCTAAAGTCGCAGTGCGAGCAGTATCAGTCATGCGCGCGATACGCAGAACCTTTATTAACTTGAATACATATGTCCTTGGCTAGGTATATGGGGCATTTGTGCAGCCGCACCTGGAATATGCGGTACAGGCTTGGCGGCCGTGGCTTCGAAAGGATATAAACCTCCTTGAGGATGCACAACGACGTGTTGCAAAGGCTGCTCATGACCGTAAAAATTTTACGTACGGGCATAGCCTGACGACCTTGAACCCCTATTCCCTCCACTACAGGCAGGACACATGTGACCTGATCGCAAAGTTTCAATTGCTATGAGGACCTAGTCTGGATGTCGACTGTGAAACGCTTTTTGAAATGGCACCGAAGTCTAATCTCAGACGGCGCGAGTACCAGCTTAGAAAGGAACTGTGCCACACAAATCAACGTTCCTCCTTTTTCTGACAGAGGGTCACTCGTCACTGGAATTCTTTGCCGAAGCCTGTTGCTAATTCCCCTACCGTGAATGTGTTCCAGACACAACTGGTTGATCACCTCATAAAAGACAACCCGAACTGCTGATGACATGAAGATATGGAGTGTGATTCGGGGTTCTGCCCGACGAAGACAGACTGCCGATGAGCCTGAATCGGTTGGAGGAGTGGTCAAACCGTTGGCTCCTGCATTTCAACGTTCGCAAATGTAACATACTTCGCCGTGGCATCACAGCCAGATCCGGCAGCACAAGAGACTACTTTCTGGACGGTGCAGCCCTACAAGAGGTCGAAGCCCAAAAGGACCTCGGTGTGATGACCACGAGTCCCCTAAAGCCATCCGCCCATTGTTCTAGAGTGGCAAAAGGCACAGTGTCCGTACTGTGCGCAATCAAGCGTGCGTTTATGGACTTTGACGAGGACGCTTTATCGGAGAAATTCGGAGCATTCATCCGGCCGCATTTGGAGTACGGCATACAAGCCTGGAGACCGTGGGCAGTTGAGGATCAAAACTGCCTCAGAAGAGTTCAGGGGAGAGCCACGAAGATGGTTAGGGTCAAAGCTCCTTTCCTTATGTAACCCGCCTAGCAAATCTGAACCTCTTTCCTTTGAGTTACTGGCAACTTCGTGGGGATCTCTTGCAAGCCTTCCGCATTGTAAAGGGGTTGGATTGCAGTCCGGCCTTCGAGGACATTTTTGAATTTGCTACAACGACCAACCTCCGAGGCCACCCGTCTAAACTGCGAAATCAGCAGGCAAGGCTGTATGTGCGGAAGTTCTCCTTCTCTGTTCGAGTGGTCAAACCATGGAATGCCCTCCCCGCAGATGTTGTGATGTCACCTTCTTTACAAAGTTGTAGAAAGAATCTTGACATATTTATGTTCCGAAATGACCAAGAGCGATGAGAAATAGAGCTCACCCCCTGTAACTCGTTCTGATTTTGTCCTACCATTATGGACGTGTTTGAACTATTTCAGTCCAGAACATTTATCTGTATAGCACACATTTTTTGTGTTGCAAATAGGGTAGTCAAAGACTTACGCCTATTTCCCTCAATAAACTGAACTAAACTGAACTTCAGGAAGACCACGGTTAAGTCCTTTCTCGCCCCAGAACTTTTATACAAACTAGGTGGGTTGGCAGCCTCTCCCTTCTGCTTATTCGAAGAATACTTTGGAGCCCTTCAACAGATATTTCATTCGGAGTCAAACCAGGCCGTGGAAAAACGGCGGTTCTTCAATAAAACCCAACGGGAAGGTGAGATTCTGATGAATGTCTACATAGAATTAAAATACCTGTCGCTTCGCGCCTTTCCACCCCACGGCGACAAAGACCTAACGTTTTGTCGCATGATGTCGGGTATAAGCGACCGAGAACTAGCAATGATTTTCACCAACCGTCCACCGGCCAACGTCAAGGAGGCTCTCGACTTGGACGCGGCTCGACGCACCCAATACTCCTTGGCTAAGGAATCTCACGCCACCAGAGGCCAACTACGTGCGGTCACCCACTCAACCTTCAAGGTCTGTCCACACCCTACCACACCCATTTAAACCGCCCTTTCAACCTCCAAAGTTCCCAGGTCCGCCGAACAACACTCACTGTTACTATTTCAACTGCTTCGGCACAGTCGCCAAGAAATGCGGCCACAATTCAGGCAACCATCCCTTACCCCTGGCCACTTTGTACATCCTTTCCCTTGATTTCAAGCCATTGACAATCTCGGGCACAGTGGCAAATAAGACAGTCAGCATTCTTATAGACACGGGCGCAGCCGTCTCCCTGATTCACATTAGCCTCATCCATGGACCAAACTATAACCAGCCGGGATTTCCTCAACTACAGATTCTCACTGCTAACAATTCCATCCTCCAGCTCAGCGGCTCCGCCACAGTACCAGTCTTCATCAAAGACAAAACTATCCGACATCGCTTCCTCGTGTACTCCGAACTCAAATGGAATGTCATACTCGACTTTGATTTTCTAAAACAGCATGCTCAAGCCATTACCTCCTCCCCACTTCTCCGTCCCTGATCCTCAACGAGGACAAGGAAACCGCGGACGTAAACAGTATCGAAAACGATACACGACCGCCTCTCAACACTTCTTACACTGAAGACATCCTACCGGACATTTCGGCCGGTGACCGTCGCGCCCTAAACCACGCGTTGGTACCGTTCAGATCCGTTTTCACCTGGGCAGGCCAGGCTATTGGACGGTCCAACGTAGTTTAACACGGAATAAACACAGGATCCATTAGACTCTATGTCGACTACAGACGCCTGAAAGCGGTCACGGTCGGAGATGCCTTTCCTCTTCCCCGTATGGACGACCTCCTAGTCTCTCTGGCAGGAAAGAACTTCTTCACTATCCTCGACCCCTCACCAAACTACTGGTAAATAGAAAAACATCCATAGGATCGAGCCAGAACCGCCTTTTCCATGCCCTCGGAATTCTTTGAGTTCACCACACTAACAATAGGCTTGGCCGATGCAGCGGCGACCTGCCCATGCCTCGTGCAAAAATTACTCAAGAGCGTATGTCTATTGAAGTGCCTTGTTTACCTAGACGACGTCACAATGTCAGTCAGTCAGTCAATGTATTTGAGGGAGATAGGCTTACGCCTTTGAACTCCCTATTTGTACATAAAAAATCGATAAAGAAGCAAAAATGTGAAGAAGTTACAGCACTAAGTGAAGGTATACATTGATTCACATATGTCACTAGATACATGACTAAAAAGTCACATAGTCCGCTTGTTCCTGCAGCATATATTTGTCAAGGCGACATTTAAATGCCTCCACAGATTGAGACATAAGAACCGTCTCGGGCAGGTTATTCCACGGTTCCACGACACGGTTGGAGAAGAAATATTTTCTCACATTCAGTCTACCCTGTGGCACACGTAGCTTGAAGGGATGTCCCCGGAGGTGAGTTGTAGTGGCGAGTTGGAAAAAGTCATCGCACCGAAGGGCACAATCCAAGCCGCGCACGATACGGAAAGTTTGTATCATGTCTCCGCGCAACTGTCTATAACTCAGACGATAGAGATTAAGGTTAGTTAAGCGGATCTCGTATGGCAGTGCACTTTGACCTCTTACTAATTTTGTGGCTCGCCTCTGCACCCTTTCGAGCAGATCGTAATCCTGATGCGTCCACGGTCTCCAGGCCTGAATTGCATATTCGAGATGGGGCCTTATAAACGTGCCGAAGACTTTGGTGAAGCAGTCTTTATCGAAAACTACGAATGCCCGCTTGATGGCATATAGCATTGAGGTTGCGGCCTTGGCCGCCTTACAGCATTGTGTAGAAGGCTTTAGGCTGTCTGCAACCCAAACTCCGAGATCTTTCTGAGTTTCTGCTTCTCGGAGTGGCATTCCGTTCAGATGGTATTGCCGCGTACTAGGGGTCTGATTTCCGAGGCGCAGAATGGTGCATTTGTTCAAATTGAAGGACAAGAGCCATCTGCGGGACCACTCGTCCAATCGACAAAGATTTTCTTGGAAGTTGGTCTCATCGGCAGCATTCTGGATGACTTTCCAGATTTTTATGTCGTCTGCAAACATGGCGCAATCACAGTCCAACCCATCTCCACAATCATTGATGAACAAGAGAAAGAGGGTTGGTCCGAGCACCGAGCGTTGTGGGACCCCACTCTCTATGAATGTGCACCTTGATTGCTGTTGTTCTACGCAGACAATTTGGGAGCGGCCGACAAGGAAATTTTCGATCCATTTGAGAAGTTTGCCACCGATGCCCATAATTCTCAACTTGTGTAGGAGACGCTGGTGCGGAACACTGTCAAATGCCTTCCGGAAATCAATATAGGCAACATGCACGGTGTGTTTTGCGTCCAGTGCTCGTGTCCAACTTTGCATTGTGTATAGCAAGTTCGTAACACATGATCTTCCCCTACGGAAACCATATTGTGTATTGGACAAGAGGTTGCGGGTTTCAAAGTAAGCCATCAACTCCTTTTTGATGGTTTTGTCCATCACTTTGCAGCAGATTGATGTCAGACTGACGGGTCTGTAGTTTGTCGCCAGAGCACGACTACCGCTTTTGTAAAGGGGTGTAATGTGGGCCGTCTTCCAGTCTGTGGGATGAATTCCAGCATCAAACGATTTCTGGCACAGAAAGGATAGTGGCTTGGCCAGCTGTTGGGCAAGCTCAAAGAGCAGCTTTGCTGGGATCTCGTCCGGACCGGGAGATTTACATTCCTTCAAGCTTTTCAGTTCTTCCAAAATCGTTTCTTCTCGAAACACAATATTTTCGATAGTGGGATCTCTCATGTTCTCAGAATTAGATGGGGCAAAGTCTGCTTCTCTTGTGAAAACGGATCGGAAAATTTGAGAAAAGTGCTCAGCTTTATTTGTACTGTCCGATATCTCCAAGCCGTCATCACCCCTCATAACAGGAATGGGATTCCTGTTACGTGTGCTTTTCCGCAAATAGCTGTAGAGCAATTTCGGATTTTTAACGGCTTGGTGGAGCAAATTACTCTCAAAATCCCGTCGCCTCCTGAAAATCAGACTTTTCACCTTATTTCTTTGAACTTTGTATTATGTAAACGCTGCATTGTTGTTGTTCTCGCGAAATTTCTTCCATAACCTTCCTTTCTTGTTGATCTCCTTTTTGAGTTCTCGTGCTAGCCACTGAGGGCGGTTGGATATCCTAGGCTTTGATAAGGGACAGTGGTTCTTCATTAGATGCAGTAAACGATCCTTGAATAAATTCCAGTCCTCGTTATCGTTTCCGGAGAAGAGAACATCCCAGTCTATTTGTGATGCCTCAGCTCTCATTTGGCGAAAGTCCCCTTTCCATATATTTTTCCTCGTATTGTCTTTTGTACACGGTTCAGAATACAGCAAGTACTCCCATAAAAGCACTACATGATCACTTCGACCGAGCGGGGGTAGGTAGTACACCTCGTCTATACTGTCAGGATCTTTGGTAAAAACGAGGTCCAGACAAGTGGCCTGTTGCCCTCCACGAGCTCTAGTTGGAAACAGGACACGTTGCGTGAGTAGAGCTTCTAGGGTTGTCTTTAGTAGATGGTAATCGAAGGCATTCATCGAGCACTTCGCATGCATATCGCTCCATTGAATGCAGGGTGCATTAAAATCCCCCATGAGAACAACGTCTGGTCGGCTGGCGATCTCTTTTATGCTTTCAAGTAGACAAGTATCTGGGTCGGGATCCGCCTGCGGGGGCCGGTAGATAGTTAAGACTTCGAGGGACTGAGATAACCGCGCCTTTATAGTCAGCCAAATTGCCTCTGTGTCGTTAGAAATCTTGTCGGTCCTCTCACACACTGCTAAGTTGCTCTTGACATACATGGCAACTCCTCCACCCCGGCGGCCTCTCCTGTCTCTCCTAAACAAATAGTATCCTGTTAATGCTACCTCGCAATCACCAACGTCCTCTGACAGCCACGTTTCTGTTATTGTTATAACATCGGGAAGAGTATCGGCTACCTGTATTATCAGTTCGTCAAGCTTGGAAAACAGACTCTGAGCATTGGTGTAAAAGAATTTTAGTT